ACACTGGTATTTTTGGCCTGGGGGGGATTTACAACAAGACTTCAATGATACCCAGAATTAAGACATTATAAGAAAGAAACCCTACTGTCACTAGGAATTTCTGCGACCTAATAGACCCCCGTCTATGTCCCGTTAATTTTCCCAATTTCTGCCTCATTAGTGGCTTTACCCCCTGATGTTGCTACTATTTTATCAGAATCAAATTTAGCACAGTAGTTAAGTAGGTCGACAAGGCTCCCGCGTACTTAACTACATTGAACTACCTTGAGACCGCTTTTGGCGGATCACAAGGCTTAATTAATCAATTCTTCTCTCGCTCTATACCAGTGATACGAAATTCTCTAAAATTGATTTATATAAGTATGGAAAATTGTGAAAGAATTTAATTTGAAGAAATGAATGATATTTCTTTATATACTACGAAAGCGTGAAAAGAATTAGACTACAAAGCTGTAAATGAAAGCAGTAATCTAATCTAAGAAAGCATTAAAGACGTGGCCAAGGGAGAGGGAAGACCCCCATTCCCTTGGCCTTTCCTGTGGAGAACTTCCTTACAGGGTTGGAGCTCTCGGAAACAGGAAGACGACGAACGCTATATGTATGCTGAAATCGCCAAAGAATTCGATCTATTTTACATAAAGATATCTGGCCCTATTTATATCAGGTGTGAAAAGGCGGTTGCAAGTAGCAGTTAGGCAGTTCCAACCACTGGGCAGTTAGGCGGTTGCTGGTGGTTATTCTGTTGAAGCAGTTGCTGGCCATAACTCCCAGGGTGCCCGCTTCGCTTGCATTGAAGATTAAGGGCACAAATCTTCCTCGCTTGCTGGAGAGCAGGAGGGCATCAGCGTAGCTCGGCTTGCTTGTGCTAGCTGGAATTGGAATGGCTGCACCGCTGCAGTTGAAGTACTTAGTTGAAATCTGGTGATAGTCTGCAGCGGCGGGTATCTGGACTGTTGCTTGCAAGCGGGAGAGGCTATCGCTTGCGGCTATGAAGGTGGCCGCTTGCTTCTCATGCCTTAGTGTTTTCAAAGTGTGTCCTGGGCGCTTGCGAGCAAAGACGGTTGTCGCTTGCGGCGTCTGCCTTAGCTTTTCTGGTTCAGAATACCGCTTAAGAGGGCAAACATCGTTAATAATCTCAACAACGAATTCTGGATCATGCCTAGTGATATAAATCAATATTGTATGCCAATTACGAATTATTTTGATGGTTCTTATGTAGAAATTCGAGTAATACACATTTTTGTCAAGCTAAGAATATGCTCATATTTAGAGTCATCATGCTCCACCTTATTTAAAAGACTCTTAAGATTTGTACAACTTTCAGCAATTTCAAAATCAAACAACATAGATTTTTCATTCAAATATGGCACATAACCTTCATTAAATGTCACATTATTACTAATAATGGTTTTAAAATCAGGTTTAGAACTAAGCCATAATCTATAACCTGTAACACTATAACCCAACGAAACATAATTTTCAGTTTTCATATCTAAACCTTTAGTGCAAATACGTATCGCAGCATAAGACCCAAACACACGAACATTAGACATATTGACAATTCTACCCAACTACTTATTTTTCGGATATTCAACTTTAAGGGGGATATAGGGTGTTGATTTAAAAGATAGACTGTTGTTACAGCAGCTTCACTCCAAAATTTTTCAGGAAATACCAAACGATGTCAAAAGACATCCAACTTTTTTCAAAAGACTTCGGTTTAACCTTTCAACAACCTCACTAAATTGGGATGCCATGGGGAAAGATTCGAAATTAATACAATTTTGCACACAAAAATTATTAAATCAAGTGTTACAAAAATTTAAACCATTTAAAAGACTTAAATCAAGTTAAAACATTTAATACAGTTAAAATCAAGTTAAAACATTTAATTTTTCTGTCAGTCTCACTTTCAATTTGAACTTTTCAATTCTTGAAAACCTTAAATCAAGTTTATTTTTCAATAAGAAAATCCAATTTTTTCTTGAAAAATCGTCAACTATAGTTAAGAAATATTTACTCCCACTATAAGTGGGTTCACTAGGAGGATCATGTATATCTACATGTATACATTCTAAAATCAATTTTGAAAAAAAAAAATGATTTTCAAGGGTTTTTAATGAAAAATGAATTTTATTAAATTTTCCAGGAAAACATGTATTACAAAAGGAACAATAGAAAATTTATTATTTTCCAAACAACCATATTCATGCAGAATTTTAAAACCCCTGTTAATCAGGTTACCTAACCTCTTATGTCATAATCAGTATTATTTATTCCAGAATTATCAATTCCAGAACATACAATTAGAGGAATTGCATAAGTAACATACAGATCATTTTGCAATTATGCCCTAAAAATCACCAAAGCCTCTTTTGTTATTTTCATGGAGTTTAAACCTATTTTCCTTCTAGATAATTTAACACATGACAACAAGTTGTTTGAAAAATCAGGCACATGTCTTACATCATGCAATTTTATCACATTCCCATATTTAAATTTCAAATTGACAACACAAATTTCCTCGACTTTACACACACGATTATTAGTCATAGTAACATAACAGTGTGTTAAAATTTTAAATTCATAAAAAATATTTTTCAAAGGTGTCATACGGTATGTACATACAAAATCAATAATCGATTCATTAGCACACAAAGAATTTGAAGTTAAATATATCCTAACAGAAAGTACATCCTCTAAATTTCGATTGATATCAATCAAATTGGTAAACTCACTTGCATGTGCACTTTTATTATTGTTATTACTATTATTATGTCCAACCATAATTATCAATATCAAATAACAGTTTTATTACAAGCAATTTTGAAAACAGTTTGATTACAAGCAATTTCGAAAAATACAGATTGTCTTAGAAAAACAGTTTGTTTTAAAAATATTCAATTAATCAGAAAAACAATGTTTAATTTTTCAAAAATAATGGAGAACTAAACAATCACAGCACACAAACTGCTATCCGCACAGAATACAGAACACAATCAAACACAGCAACAAATGAATCACAGAATATTGCAATCACATGCTTAAAAAAAAAAAAACAGAATATAGCCTATCTATTACAACATTCACTCGTGACTATTCCACCGAAGATACTCGAGAATCACTCACCACAGTGAGAACCGGAGTTTTGCAAACTTGGTTTCACAATAATCTTTACAATTGATTTCAACGAAATTTAAATGTAGTTATTAACCAAGTAAATGAAAATAGTAATAACAAGAGATAGGGTTTTAGATTATACCCTTGAAGCACTGCAACAATATTATCTCTACAGGGAAAATACAGAATATTCTATTCTCTTTGAAGAATAAAGGTTAGCCTAACAGGTAGCGATAAGTAAAGAGAAATTTATACACATTTTTTTTTTTAACCAAGGTTAGAGTCAGAGAAAAACAGGCTTAGGGAATATAAACACAATACGAACAGGACAGGACAGAGATAGGCCACGGAAATATTCAGATATATCAAGATACCTGAAAAACAATTTGGTTTCTAAGCTTTTAATCAAAAAGAAAAAAAAAACATCACAGTTTTAAGAAATATTAAAAGATTTTAACCAAACTAGTTGATGATTTTATAGATCTAAGAAAAGATTTTACAAGATCCTCACCAATTTTAACAATACTTAAGTTGTATTCTTTTGTGGGTTTTATTGTAGGTTTTTACTACTCAAATTTTTTTTTTCCTCCAAAAAAATCACATTAAACAACTACTTTTCTTTTTTAATATTATACTACAATTTTATTTTTTTTTTACATTCAAAATATCACATCAACTTCTATTTATATCACATCAAATAACTATTCAAATTAAACTTTTTACTATTAAAAAATCCAAGCCGAAAAACTAAAACTCAAAAACAAACACACCCTTAGGATTTTGAAAAAAAAAAAAAAAACATTTAGATTTAAAACCAAACACACACAGATCTTAACAATAATAAGGCGAACATAAAGATTTAGGATTTTATTTTCTCGAAACAACCGATACTCACTCGAACTCCACCGATCTACACAATATTGTAGCGGTTTTGTTCGAAAAAACAACAATAGCTTGATGAGACTATAAAAGCACAGATCGACGCACACAGGGCCGATTTTGACTTGAAATAAAAGGAAAAAACTGAACATAAAACATAAGTTATATTCAACCGGATCCTTTCTATTTCACACAGATCTATCAAGTATTGAGTATAACTTAACAAAATCAACAGTAAATCACGATTTCATAAATAAAAAATTCAACCGAAGCTCTGATACCGTTTGTTATGTAATAAACGCGAAATGAACTTGATTTTATTAAGGAAAAATCAGCGAAAAATGTAAACATAAAGTTTGAACTAGATTTGGAGGTAGGTTCAGCCCCCAAATCACCCAAGAACTCAAAATTGACACAAAAAACCTAAAATCGCGACTACTCACAAAACCGGTTCTCCTACCTGCAACACAATTGAAAAATAACCCCCACATGCAAGATAGGCAAAATATTGGCAAAACAATGGCCTAAAAGAAGAGTAACCATACAAACTGAACGTACAACCGAAGACAAATCCTATGGAGTTCGTTTCGATACAAAGGGGAAAGAGCTCCTTTGAATCCCCATGGAAACAGGAGAAAACGGTTCGTCGGAGGCTCGCCGGTGATGAAACAGAAAATCGCCGAGGGATGAATGTAGAGAGAGATGAGAAAAATATCTAGAGAGAGATAGAGATATATAAGTGTATGTATGAATGAATGTGAAATCAATCACGGCACCTCCTCTCCAATAGGTATATATATATAACGGTAGAAGAGAAATCAAAGGCCTAAAATCAAGCCCTACATCCAACGGTCTAGGAGCAGCCTAAAATAGACGCGGATTGACAGTGTGGGTTGCAGGTCTGGTTAAGTGGGCTAGGGCATCAACGGGTCAGATCAGGCCAGGTATTATGGGGCACAAATTTTGAGTTTGTGTTCGTTTAGGGTATGAATACAATAATCTAAAAAATTGATTATATACCAAAATTTTATATTAAACATAACCATAAATAAACCTAATTAGCCGTAAGAGAGCCACTCGTGAAATAAATAATCAACAAGCTCTCTCTCAATTCCTACGCAATCTACTCGCACACTCTACATACATATAATATCTTGTATCTATGCCCACCGCACTATACTATATATATACTGTAAACATACATCATACTCTCAACTGAACTGTCCTCCCACGAAGGTTTGCCCGAACGACCACCCGGTGGGAACGACGCCGTCGCAGACGACGGTGCGGCCGTCGCCGGCGGTCACCTTGAACGACAGCGCTTGCCCCTCCAGATTAGAATTCGTTTGCCAATTTTGCCCCCAATTTCGAGACATCGGTTCCCAGTCAGTCCTCGAACCTTTGATCGCCACCGACCGGACGTCGCCGGCGCCGCCCACGTTGCTGATCAGGACAAGGTTGAAGTACGAGTGCCCGTTAATGAGGAACTTTATGCCCCCCCTCTTCCGACACAGAACCCTACCCACCATTTCAATTTTCAGTTACAAATCCAGACAGCTTCAGAAAATCCGAATCTAGAACAGCACGAAAATCCAGAAAAATAAAAAAAGTCTGTGATAATTGATACCTTCTGTAGAGGACGGGGACGATGCCAGCCTGGTACTTGGCGATCTGCTGGAAGACGGGCTGGGAGAGGTCGAAGTGGTGGTTGGGGGGGTTGCACCACCCGCCGGCGTCGCCGCGCAGGGCGGCGTTGGGGGGGCAGAAGTTGGTGGCGGTGACGACGATGGACTTCTGGAGACACCATTTCTGGTCGTCGACGCATTTGAGCTCGAAGCAGGCTCCGCAGGTCTGCCCGTTGTTGAACAGGGTTGTACTCAGAGCTGCAGTGTTTGTACCGTACCCTTCGCTGTACAAATTCCCATACCCACACGCTCCACCTTCACAAAATTTTCAGTATGTACAGAAAATAATAGTTACATTATATATATATATATATGTATTTGTTTTGAAAGTATTTTTAAGTTTTAAGTAATAATTTACTTAGAGAAATTTGGTTGGTAGAGGTTAGGCGTACCCATGGTGCCAGAAGCGTCGGCGCCGCCGTAGAAGGTGGCGTGAGCTTGAGACCAAGATTGGGCATGGGAGTGACGTGGCATTAGGCATAGGAAGAAGAAGATAATGGGAAGGAAAGCTACAGGGGCCATGGAGAACAGCAATGTAGACTTTCTGTGTTTGTGTGTGTGAATATTCAAAATGTGTGTCAAGATACCTAGCTTAGTTTGATATAAGAATGCTTCTAATATATATATATATATATATATATATAGAGAGAGAGAGAGAGAGAAAGAGAGAGAGAGGCAGATAGATTCTCGTAGATTTGTACGGGATGGTGACGAGGTCGTCCAATTTTCAAACATTAAAATGTTCATGGGACTCATCACTCGAAGCCGAGCTTGTCAGTTTAAAAAATCCATCACTGCATTGACCGGACGATTTTTCATGGAGAATCAATTTAAAGATGATGCTTGGAGACCACATCAGACGATTTTTCATGGAGAATCAATTTAAAGATGATGCTTGGATACCACACCAGACGATTTTTCATGAAGAATCAATTTAAAGATGATACTTAAAAACCACTTAGCCTTCACCTGACGCTTCTTCAACGGGGACCCGCAAGATTCCCAATTGAAAGATCAAGAGAATAGCAAATCATAAAAGATTATCAAGGGAATTTATGGAGGTTTTTAGAAGTTACCTTAATATATATTTCCTTTTATTATAAGTTTTCATATCTAAAATTACATATTTTATTGAACTTTGTGGGTAAAAAAATTATATTGGTTATAATTATACACAGTCAGACCATGTCAGGTGGGGTAATGATATTTGCTTCATTTAAATTTGCAACGTCAATTGAGGCTTGCTTTGATGTTAACGAGGGAGATTTGAGTTAAAGGCGTGTTTTTTTTGTAGATTTTATCACAAATTTTTATTATTCAAACTTCATTTTTCCTCTAAAAATATCAAATCAAACAATTCTTTTTTTTTTTATATTATACTACAAATTTATTTTACATTCAAAATATCTAGTCAACATCTATTTATATAATCAACCTCTTCGAACTCAGCTCCATTTCACAAAGCAATTTAGAATTAATAATTATAAAACAAATGGCTCTTACAAAATACAATCCTCCATTCACGCAGCGTTTTTAAATAAATTAATTTTTTGTGTGTTGGTATAAAAAATTGTGTCAAAAATATAAAACATATTATTTTAAGTTGAATATTTAACTTTTTGAATTTTTTTTGTAATGACTATTTGAATTTTATTTTTGTCAAAAGTTTTTTGTGTTGTTTATTATTATTTTTTCTGAGAATTCCAACTCAAAAATAGTGTTGGGAGAATAGAGTGAATGTTTTGTTGGGGAACACACAAGGGAAGAGAGATAAAATCAAATAACAAGACATGAGAATTTAACATGGTTTGGTCTCGCAACAGACCTACATCCACGATTCCAAAACGGGATAATCCACTAAAATATTTATTACAATTTTTGCACGGACAAAATTATAAAACCCTCCTCACAACAACTCACCAAATCTCAATTTCACTCTCTCTAGTTACTAAAGAAAAAAGTTTGTTTTCGTATCTTAAAATATGATCCAAATGGGTCAATTTATAGGAGTCAATGCCCCTACCTTTTTATCACACTAAGGATGTGGGACATGGGAAGTTACACAACAAATTCTCTCTCTTCTCATAGTCTCACATATTTTGACCATGTCAGAAAAAACGAACTCTCTTCTCGATTTTCTGATTCTTCATATCATTGTTGCTCTTCACATTTGCTCGCAGGGCGCTTCCATTTAGATAATAGATGTTGTTTTGTTTCTTCCTCCCTTACATAATCAAGTTGTCACCCTTATACACTTTACATAGATTTTTAGTGCCAACATATTTATACCAATGTGAAGCCAACTCATCCAATGAAATAACATTAGCTCCAACACTAGGCACATACCTCACATTAAAAATTATTTTGACATTACCATTGTGGAGCTTCAAGCGAACTCATCCAATGCCTTCAATTTGCTACTTCGTCTTATTCCCCACATTGATATAGCCAAAATCTCCCTTTGTATGCAAAGTATCAAATAAAGCTTGCTCTTTACAGATATGGACATCGGTAGCAGAATCCATCATCCAATTAGAATTCTCAACAGGATTTGTATTTAAAAGAACTAAATCAACTTCATAACTGACCACGTTCGCGGAGTTCTCAACTTTCGACTTACCTTTCAAATTTCTCAGACTTCTTCAGCCTTCTTTAAAAAGTCGACAGTGATTTTGAATTTGACCAAGCTCTCCACAATAATGACACGCAATAGAGTTGTAATCTATCGGCCAAGATTTCGATCTTCCACCACGGTCACTCTTCATTTTCCTCCCTCTTTCAGAACCCCCCACAGCTAGTATTTGACTCTCCTTTCAAGTGTCTTCATTTCCCATTATCTTGTCATTCTTCTTCAAAACTGTTATCGTCTCATTCAATTTCAATGTAGTTTTCCTAACCAACATTGATTGCACAAACGGCTTGTAGGATTTGGACAATAAAGCTGACAAAAGCAACACTTGCTCTAACTTTTTAATTCCTCTCCTGCATTGAGCAGTTGACATACTAGTTCATTAAACTTGTTAGTATGGTCTATTATATTACCTCCTTCCTCTATCTTCAAAGAGTATAGATCCATCTTCATAATGAGGCGGTTAGTCAACGTCTTCGTGGCAAATTTACTCTCCAAAGTATCCCACAACCTCTTCGGAGATGTTTCCCTCAACACAGTAACCTTTATATGCGGGGTGAGTGCCAATCGAATCGTGGTAACAACCTTTTTCCGAATCATACTCCAATCACCTTCTTTCATACCTTCTCGATTTGCATTTTCCAAGACAACATCAAGACCTTGCTGCACCAAATAGCCTTGAATTGTGGTTTGCCACATAGTAAAATTACTATTTTCATCAAAGAGCGGAACCTCATAGTGGACATAGTGCTTAATAAGTCTCCAATAAATAAGCACTTCCAACAACCAATTAAACTGAGGCTCAAAAATAAAACCAGAAACTCAAATAAGGTAGAACTGACCTTTCTAGTAGAAATCTGGTGTGTTGCCGGAACCCGGTGTGGAACTACAATATGAACGTGCCGTCAACTTCTTTCGAAATACCTCTTAGTCCTTCTCTCATCCCTTTGCCAAAACCTCGCTTAAAAATGACCTGGCTCTTATACCACTTGTTGGGAACACATAAGGTAAGAGAGATAAAGTCAAATAACAAGACATGAGAATTTAACGTGGTTTGGTCTCACAACAAATCTACATCCACGATCCCAAAACGGGATAATCCACTAAAATATTTATTACAATTTTTGTACGGACAAAATTCTAAAACACTCCTCACAACAACTCACCAAATCTTAATTTCACTCTCTCTAGTTACTAAAAAAAAAGGTTTGTTGCCGTATCTTAAAATAGGACCCCAAATGGGTCAATTTATAAGAGTCAATGCCCTTTTTTATCATACTTCCAATGTGGGATATGAAAAATTACACGTGTTCCAACTTTTCAAGTAGAGAATATATATTTTTGTTTTTTTAGTAATTTAAAAAATCATATCATTTTATTGATTATTGGAAGTATATAATATTGAATTTTATATTTTTATAGTTGAAAGTAAAATAAAAAATAATAATAATTTTATAAAAATTATAAGTGTTTTGATATTTATAAATAATTTTTTTATTATAATTCCAAATAAATAGTTATGAGTGAACGACCAAAAATGATGTATGTATACTGACTTGGGACGTAATATCAATAAAAATAAATAAATTATTATTCACCTAACATTATATCAAATACTCTTCAATTAGAAATTCAAATTAATTTTTATTTTAAATTAATTTCAAACTAAAATCAAACGAATTAATATCTTATATTTTATTATATAACCTATAAATAAGAAAATATAAATATATAAATATATGATTGTATTTTACATAACAAGATAGTATTTATATATATATATATATAAATTGTATTTTACATAACAAGATAGTATTTATATATATATATATATATATTTATAAAAAAATACTGTATAAAAATATTATTGCAAATGTTAAAAAATAAACCAACCACAATTCGTTTTGGCATTAATATGTATGGATTCTATGGCAATTTATTTGTGGGATTAAAATTGAAAATATTAAAAATTGGCATTTAAGTAATATAATATAAATATGTATTGCGATTTAATATCCGTCCATTTATAAAGTTCACATTTGGGTTTAATATGTTAATTTTAAATATTAATTATTATATAAAAACGTAGTACAAATTAAGAAAGAATATCAAAATATTTTTGCTAATGTCTTATAATATAAATATAATGACATTTGTATTAAAATTATACAAATACAATGACATTTTTTAATATCAAGTATAATGACGACAAAAAATAAATGTAAACTTATTGAGTGGACAAAATGAGTATTAAATTATTATTTAATCTAAATTAAATAGATAATATTGTACTCCGTCTGTCCAAGACTAAACTTTTCATCTATTGTTTTGCATATTAATCTTTGAATATTAGTTATTATATTAAAATGTAATAAAAATACCTCTATTAGTATTGTAGACACTAAAAATATGTTAAAATTAAATTAAATATTATATATTTTGGAAGAAAATAAAATTCCAATAATATAAATATATGGTATTTAATTATGCACATATGCTAATTTTTATACAATAAATATAAATCATTAATGCAAAAATCTGCTTAAAATGAAAAATATCGTACAAATATTACGTTCATAAATAGAGTCATAATAAATTTGGCAGCAAAATAAATTAATCTTGTCAATAAATGAAGTATATAAATTAATATATTCCAAAAAAAACAATGATATAAAGATTTTGACGAGAAACGAATGTACACAGTCAAATCTGTCAAGAATGGAAAACGACATATGATGAAAAAAATATTATAAAATCTTCCTATTGGCCAATCAAAATGCACCACGTGGCACCATTAAAAAAAGGAAGCCGAAGCCACCCATCCCCTATAAATAGGAGCCATGGCCAGTTCATTTGAGAGACCGAAGTTACATCGATGATTCAAGCAAAGGGGTAAGTTTCTAGACTCTCTATGTATTGTTCTTCATGTTCTTCGTGTCCTTCGAAGCGTTCTTCGTCGAAAGTCACTGATTTGGATAAATGATCCAATATTGGTTGACGAATCGATGGGGTTAACATTTTTCGTCGTATGCCCAAGCCGGGGGAAAGATCAAAGCTCCCAAAGCCGTTGAAGAATTCGTCAAGCCAAGGGAAGGTCTCCAAAGTTCCTCTCAAAGCTTCAAAATGTTCATCGCGTTCTTTAACAAAGCACCAACCAGGCCCTCTTCAATCCAAAAGTCAAAGGGACACGCCGCAAAATATGTTATGGAGCACCAAATCCACCTCCTCAAAGATCAAAGCTGCGGATCGTCCAAAGAAGACATCAAATCTAAAGCTAATTATCAAACCGCCCACACGGAGACCAAAGCCCTCCGA